TCCCGACAGCTGCGGTTAGCGAGGGGGGCATCGGCGTTCGGCTGGCGCCTGGGGCTGGCCTGCTCCCGCCCTTCCCGGTAGCGCCTGGTCAGGGGAGAAACCAGACCCCTCTGCCCGTCCCGCGGCCGGGACTGCTCCCGCCGCGGAGGAGGCTGCGTGTGGCTTTGGGCAGGGGCCAGGAGTGGGTTGTTGTAGGCACTGAACACTCGGTCCGTCTGAGCTGAACCAAAAGGAGGTGAATGCCCAGCGCCCCGAAAGCGCAGCCCTAACTGAGGTCACCCGTCAGGAGAACATCCCGCCTTGCTCTTGGAAGCCTGCATAGCTTCCCTTCCTTCCTTGTGCGGCTGACGGGGTGAAGCTGGGAATTCAAGTCGACTCAAAGAAGCTGATGTGACTAATACCGCTTATCTTTTTCCAACGATCGGAGTGTGGAGAGTGCCACAGGTTCACTAGGATCTCCTGGTATTTCTAATTTTTAAAAGAGGGGATGAAAGGACACTGTTTCAGGAAGCATGACTCATAATATACATAAATAGCTTCCCTAAAAGAATAACAAAAGCTTTTGCTATTATGTCACCTAGCAGAGCCAAGCAGTACGTGACACTTTGATGGGGCTTTGGTGAACTTAATGACTGGTGCACATGTGGCACTGAGGGCGCATGCTGGCTTACCAGCCATGAGTCTAAAGTTCATGCCTTTGCCTTTTATTTCTGAAGTAAGATTATTACTGTCAATGAACATTAAATAGTGACTAAAAGTTATACTGCTAGCAGAAGGGTGATGTACCACATCACCCAAAAGAGACCTGCAATACTATTTGGTGGTGGTTTTTGTAGTCTTTTTCCCCAAATCTCCACCACAAGACGACCTCCAGTTCCAGCAGGGCATACAGAGCATCAGTTATGAAGCTTTACTGAGTTACGCAGCTGTTCGAGGAGGGTGGTGGTGAAATGACGTGCGGTTTGGGGTTTTTTAGCTAGGATTACTTTGAACACAGCAAAAATTACAAGGGCAGCCTCCACTGCACTAGCGCATCCTGTCCAGCGTCACGAAGAAACCACACGTTCTCTGGCAAATGTAAAAATCTGTAACTGCTTGCTTCATTGCTTTACTTTTAACTGCTTAACTTCTTAAGGTGTTAGGTAACCATATTGTAATTTAATTTGAAACTGGGCAGGATTCATAAAGCTTTTTGTCTTGGACTACCTAAATTGTTTAGTTTTTCCTTTGAGTAAATGAATGAAGATGCAATTATTAAATTGTAACAGAATAAAATAGATGATTCACTAGATTATTACACTGGAGATGAGAGCGCTTCTGGCTGAGTTAATAATAGTTCAAGCACAGCTCTGTCTTATCAAGTACACAATACAAAAGGTTATGCATGTTCTCTACAAAACTGATTTGGCCAAGTATAAGCACACAGCCTACTTTTTTGCTTATACATCATAAAATCAAATTAGGTGTTTAAAAATGTAAAATTATTTGTAACTGTAAGCTTAAGTCCTAATTCTACAGATATAGTTACTGAACTCCTGAAGAGCAGCACTGAGAGAAATTCATCCTTTCAAATCTTCTCTACATCTTAATCCTCTGCAGAGAAAGGGGAAACCAAACATGAAGCATGGGAAAAAGGGAGAAGACGAAAATACAGAAATACAGAGATCAGACTCAGTTACTCCTCTCCTGAGACTTTTACCTTGGCCTTAATATATAATCATCCCCAAAGTCTCTCACTACCTTTGAATTGCCAACCACCTGCTTTCCTTCAGCCTCTCCAACAAAAATCCTTCAGCTTATTTTTCAGAATAGGCTTTCCTCACTAAAACTGGTAAAGAAAATAATTGTCCGTTATTTCTTTCAGCATGGCAGGAAAAAGAATCAGTGTGAGCAGAAATGGCATGGAAAAAAAGGAAAAAAGTGTGTCCTCAAGCATTAGATAAATTACTAGAAACACTGCATATGTTTTGCTGTTTACAGTAACTGCTGGACTGTTCCAAGGGAAGGATTTCAATTAATTGTCATCTGTATATGTTTGAATCTTAGACAAATCACACTATGTTAAAGATGTCCACCTTTCTGTAACCTATGGTTCCATAGTGGGCAGGACAATCTGATTTTTTCTTTACAATACCTGCTAACGATGCTTTTGCCACTCCAATATAAAGTTCCTCTTTCTTAAATTCAGCTTAAGCTTCTGGCAGTCTTTCCAGTAACACATGCCTGCTCCATGTCATCATCTGTCATCTTGCTCTCCTTTTATATCAACAAGAGTTACAGGAACACATGCGATAAAATAGCTCATTCAGACTGGAAGTGGCTTCTTTCTCCATTTGAAGCGCCTTTCTGCTACCACCATCATTAAAATCTGCCAATTTGGTCAACAGCCTAATTCAGGAATAAAAGTTTAAGACAGCTAACAAATCTAATGATTTTCAGAAAACTCATACCACAGTGAAAAATTAAAATCTATACCTCCAATGAGAGTATGTTGTATTCTACATCCATAGAGGTTGAAACTTTGCTTCCCATGGAAAGCTTACTGTGGGTTTGGTAGTTGTGCATCCAGGGGAAAAAAGGCAAAGGAGAAAAAACCCTCTTCAGCAGCTACAAGTAGAGGGAAACACAGGGAGGCAATTTCAGATGTTAGCAGCTGCGAAGGAAGAGATACTTGCACCAAGCATGCAAGAGATTGCGTAGAGACACAGAAAAGGCTAATATCAACATACTTTATTGATCTACCTGCCATGAGGGCCAGTTCTTTACCAGGTGACGGGCCAGACATTAAGTGCCTGTCGGAGAGGTTCATAGTAGAGCCAGGCAGAACAGTGAAATGTGCACTGTACTGGTCACAGACTCTTGGATAAAAAGAAAAAACGCTGGGACAACTTCCTTCTGCACTCAGGTGTGCCTGTATGTGGGGCCATGCCACATCTTCCCCAGCTTTCCTAGTACACAAGCTGCTGCAGCCTGTGCGTCCTAGCTGCGAGGTTAAACCCTCCACCACGTGGGGTGTAGTGTCCTTCTAGAGGTATAATCTTACCCCCAGATTACAACAGTTTGTATTTAATTACTTTGAAATGAACAGAGAGATGGATAAGACGCAACGTCTAAATGTAGTCCAACACTGTGTTAAGTCAGCCAGAAAGTGCCAGTAAAGACAAAAGCTATATGCTACAGTCCATGTTTAAAAAGGATTTCACTCAGACTCTTTGTGCCTGCCCTTTGTGTAACTTTCGCACTCCTGGAAGGTGCTGTCCATTTTCTGAGATCTCTGTCATGCTTCTGAATCCATTTCTGTTTCTGATGGCAAGCTCCACTCTTAACACCTGCAGCAGCTGCCGTTTCCCGTGTAGTCACTGCAGACTGACGACTGCAAGGATGCCGGAGAGCAGGTTTCCAGTTCAAAATTCTCTTGAGAAACAGGATGCTGTTCAGCAGTGATAAATGCAAGGTACTACCTCAGGGAGGAGGAGCTGAGCACACGAATGCAGAAAGATCTGTAGGGAAGGACCTACGGTTTTTATTGGTTCACCAGCTGACCACGAGTCAGCAACAGCATACTATCACGAAAAAGGGAAACCTCATCTCAGAGATAAACAGGGCCGTCCTCAGCAAGAGACATGAAATGATCCTTCCCCTTTAGTCGGCAAGAGCAAGGCTTCTGGTGGAGACATGTCCGGCTTTAGCCAGCACATTTAAAGAAAACTTGAGAGTGTCAAAGTAGCCTAGCAAGAATGACCAAAATATATAGAAGAATTGACCCAGAGGAAAGATCTGGGCAGTTGGGATTGTTTAAAGAGGAGAAGGCCAATGGGAAGCATGAGAGCAGTATATAAATATGGTGTGTCAGAAAATTAAGACAATAACCTGATCTGTTTGTTCACCGGGGGACAGGACTAGACTAAAAGGGCTTAAAGTCCACCAAAAAATGCCCACTAGGGATGAGGAAGGGCTGGTGAGGCTAGCAAAGCTCTGAAACAGACTGCTTGAGGAAGATGAGAAACTCCCATGCTGGAGGTATATAAGGCCAGTTAAAAACATTCCTCTGTGAAGAATTTTGTAGTTTACCCTTTGCTGGTATGGTGAATGGGTTGCATGGGTCCCTTCAGGGTCCCTTCCAGCCTAGTTTTTCGGAGACTCTGTGCTGAGATGGCCGTGTTGTGATTGACACTCAAGTGATGAAACGGATCCTTGCTCAAAGGTTGAGTGGAAGAGTTTCTGATGTGACGTTTCCCTTTAGACCCACTGCGAGGTCGGACTGAAGCTCGGTGCTCGG